CTGTAAAATGACTAATTTTCACTGGGTTTAAATTTCACTGATTTACCATTTCAGGCATATTCAGTGGGTTTTAAATTCACGGTTTCGTCATTTAGATAATGTGTTCTATGCTAAATTTTACATATTCACTGTGTTTTAATTTAGCGCATTTTTCCAGTCAGCGAAATAAGCTAAATTAAAACCCAGTGAATAATTTCCCCCTTTACAGTATTTAAATATGGGTGGCAGATATATCACATTTTATATTATGAAATTTTGAAGTTTCAGGGTTATTAATTTTGACAAATGTATATATTTTTTATTAAGGACAGTGTCTGACAGTTATGGAAAATATTTGCATGGGAGCTCATTTTATGCCTTAAACTTTTAAATACAAATAGTAAACAATTAATTCAAACAACTATTAGTCAAAAGTGAGTTAATCGTTAAAGTGAGTTCAACTGAAACTCGAGTTAATAAAACAATGGATCTGATTTGTAAATTGGCATTGGCAATATAACATGTTTTTATGTGAAAAATGTTGTATGCCCATTTCAAACCCACTGATGTTCATGAAACTGTATTGGTTAACCTTTCACCTCCAGACTTTCTCGCCCAAATATTTCTGCACTTTTTTTCTAATATTCTTTAATATTTCTGAAAATAAAATCTAATTTCAAGCCAACAGACAAAATTTGAGTAAATTTTCATTTTTTACTCACAAAATTTGACTATTTTTATTCCGTTCTTCTGAAGGAAAGTGCAGACTATAAACGGCACTATTTTGTAAATTTGTGATGAAAAGAGGAAACTGGTGGTGAAAAGGTTAACACATATTTTAATTTACAGTGGTGAACCAATTCCACAAGCAAAATATACAGAAGCTGAGAAAAAGACATGGGGTACCATATTCCGTAATTTAACCACGTTGTACAGCACGCATGCTTGCCGAGAACATAATCATGTCTTTCCATTATTGATGGAGAATTGTGGATATCAAGAAGACAATATTCCGCAGCTTGATAACATCAGTAAATTCCTGAAAGGTACTGTAAAACATGTTGAAATAGCTACATGCTATTTTAGCAAATTTGACTCCATGCATAAATTAACATAATCTTAATTTAGCTAAAGTACCAATAATCTTACTGTGAGAATATACTCAAGTCTAGTTAGCGACATCTTAATTTAGCGAAAATGTGGATTAGCTAATAGCTAAAATAACATTTTAGCTAAAAAGACGTGTTGTACAGTATAGTCTTTATACGTTAACATTTTAAACGATGTACTCCAAATATTGCACTGCTTTGCAAATACTCCGACATATCCTAGCATGGTTTTACTGTGAATCATGTATCTGACCTCGATAAAATATATAAACCTCATTGGATGCAGCTGTATACATATTGTACCCAATCAGAGTTGGCAAAGCTTATAGTAATGGACATAAAACAAAATAACTGGATGGTGAATTACCATAGAGGGCGTAATTTGATAAATATTTGCTGGACTGGATCTTTCGAAGCGAGAGGGTCGTCACCTGCGCATGCGCTGAAATTGAGTTCCAAGCGATGATAACAACACATGCTGAAAAGGCAAAGGCTCATGGGTAGATGGTGTTTGTAAACATTGACACGCTATGGCCTTATGACGCATGCGCAGGTGACGACTCCCCCGCTTTAAGTTATAGTTGTGAGGTAATAACCAAATAAACAAACTTTGGCTGGCAAGGATGTTTGAATGCTGAAATAAACATTTGTTAAATTTTTTTGAAGGACATCACAGGAATAAAGAACTCCACACTGCTCATTATTGCATGTTATAGGGCTCATACCACTAATTGAATTTTCATAGACGACAATCTTAACATATGACGAGATTGCTATATGAAAATGATGAACAAAGTTGAAAATATTGCTCAAAAATGGGAAATCAACGTGCCAGTAATCAACCACATGAAAAAAACTAACATGTTGGCCTGCTTAAACTCTTACAAATCTCAGGTAAACAAGACACACCTACTGTATTTGGATTGCACCTAGAGAAATCAATGGAAAAACACCAAGATTAGAACATCCAAATACACACAGAATAAACCCACAGGTACACAGCCGCTAAGTAGTAAACAAAAGACCACATGTTGGTCTCACCTTTGACCCAGGTGATTGCGTCCTCAAACAGGGAGCACCTGAGAAAAAAAATATTTAAAGAATGTCATTGGTTCTTGCAAGGCATTTAAATACGAGCTACGAGCAGCCATTGGTTGATTAGTGTCATGAGACCTTAAGAGAAATGAGAAGGTTTAATAAAAATTAGAGCTCTTTATATATCATAACTTTACATTATCACACAATAAACCTTTTTATGCAAATAAGAAAAACCCAGCAAATTTAAAGTGGGGAAGTCATTACCTGCACATGCGTCAGATGGCCATAGCGTGTCATTGTTTACAAACAAGCATCTACCAATGAGCCTTTGCCTTTTTAGTGTGTGTTGTTATCGTCGCTTGAGACTCAATTCCCGGGCATGTGCATGTGATGACTCTCTCGCTTTAACTGAATTTGTTTAATTCTGATTTTGGTGATTTATAACAATAATAATGAATCCCCCACAGATTCGAAAAACGGTCTAGTTGTGAGAATGTGTTCGATTTCACCTCGCACATTATCTTACCATAGATGACCCTACTCCTTATTCAGTAAAGCGCTGTTTGGAATTTGTTATTGTTTAAATCCTGTCCCACCCCTGTTATAACATATAATGGGCCGTGCACAGTCCTTTATTTTCAATTATAATAGCTCAAAATATCAACCAATTTCAATATACATGT